GAAAGAGGTACGCGAATCGAATTAGCTACGAACGAAACGATGCAATTAACACTTAAATGGCATTTTCTAATTATCGTATCGATTAAAAAAATTGGGATTAATTTCGTGAACTGGTCTTACATAAAAAACATATTATATACGAATATATATTTAGAATGCATACGTTATATATATAAAAATGAACAAAACCATAAACTATTAAAATTAACACAAACAATTTAAATTATAATGATTATTTAATTTAATTATTTGATTATTTAAATTATTTATTAAATTTTAAAAAATTATGTAATTTATAATAATCCGAATTAACAATAGTTTTATTTCGATTTTTGAATAAAAGAACTTTTTACATCATCAACACCGGTTTTTTAAATTTGTACCGGCCCTAATACTGACGTTGAATTAACGAACCGTAAATGTTATTAAAATGCATTATTATTTTGCTTGTTCGCAAAATACTTTATTAAAATCATTAGTACTTTTGTCATAAAAACAGTTATAATGTTATACATATATGCGTATATTATGTCGAAGCGGTGCATTGTTCGGCGTAATATGGAAATATCGTGCATCGCAATTGTGTACTTACAGCAAAGGCAATAAAATATAATAATCTCATTTATCGCGCATAAAACATATGTGCTTTCAGGCGATATAATATATTTGGCACGTAAATTATTCTCTTATATATAAAATGTTGCAAAAGAAGGGAGAATACGTACTCACGATTCTACATAATACGGACGCTAACAAGTGAAACATGTTAGTGCCTCGAAGTAAATTGCTTTCGACCGGAAACGCGCATCGAATTATCAATACAAAGGACAGATTATTGTACGGGTCAATAATTACGAGCGTGGAATCTAATCGATTGCTATTTGATTGGTAACCGTTTATCTTGCGCGATTGAAACGCTATTGCAAGGATTGAATATCTATATGAAACATTAACAGTGCGAAACGTCAATCAAAATAAAATCAGAACATAATCCATTGTGCAATTTTAGAATAAATTTTAAAACTTTGCGTGTGTGCGTGATTGAGTTGAATGACGCATTTAATCCGATTAGTGAACATTTAATTTATCATTTTATTTCTGTTAAATATTTACATGTGTGTGTGTGTGTGTGTGTGTGTGTGTGTGTGTGTGTGTGTGTGTGTGTGTGTGTGTGTGTGTGTGTGTGTGTGTGTGTGTGTGTGTGTGTGTGTGTGTGTGTGTGTGTGTGTGTGTGTGTGTGTGTGTGTGTGTGTGTGTGTGTGTGTGTGTGTGTGTGTGTGTGTGTGTGTGTGTGTGTGTGTGTGTGTGTGTGTGTGTGTGTGTGTGTGTGTGTGTGTGTGTGTGTGTGTGTGTGTGTGTGTGTGTGTGTGTGTGTGTGTGTGTGTGTGTGTGTGTGTGTGTGTGTGTGTGTGTGTGTGTGTGTGTGTGTGTGTGTGTGTGTGTGTGTGTGTGTGTGTGTGTGTGTGTGTGTGTGTGTGTGTGTGTGTGTGTGTGTGTGTGTGTGTGTGTGTGTGTGTGTGTGTGTGTGTGTGTGTGTGTGTGTGTGTGTGTGTGTGTGTGTGTGTGTGTGTGTGTGTGTGTGTGTGTGTGTGTGTGTGTGTGTGTGTGTGTGTGTGTGTGTGTGTGTGTGTGTGTGTGTGTGTGTGTGTGTGTGTGTGTGTGTGTGTGTGTGTGTGTGTGTGTGTGTGTGTGTGTGTGTGTGTGTGTGTGTGTGTGTGTGTGTGTGTGTGTGTGTGTGTGTGTGTGTGTGTGTGTGTGTGTGTGTGTGTGTGTGTGTGTGTGTGTGTGTGTGTGTGTGTGTGTGTGTGTGTGTGTGTGTGTGTGTGTGTGTGTGTGTGTGTGTGTGTGTGTGTGTGTGTGTGTGTGTGTGTGTGTGTGTGTGTGTGTGTGTGTGTGTGTGTGTGTGTGTGTGTGTGTGTGTGTGTGTGTGTGTGTGTGTGTGTGTGTGTGTGTGTGTGTGTGTGTGTGTGTGTGTGTGTGTGTGTGTGTGTGTGTGTGTGTGTGTGTGTGTGTGTGTGTGTGTGTGTGTGTGTGTGTGTGTGTGTGTGTGTGTGTGTGTGTGTGTGTGTGTGTGTGTTAAATTATTTATTAAATTTTAAAAAATTATGTAATTTATAATAATCCGAATTAACAATAGTTTTATTTCGATTTTTGAATAAAAGAACTTTTTACATCATCAACACCGGTTTTTTAAATTTGTACCGGCCCTAATACTGACGTTGAATTAACGAACCGTAAATGTTATTAAAATGCATTATTATTTTGCTTGTTCGCAAAATACTTTATTAAAATCATTAGTACTTTTGTCATAAAAACAGTTATAATGTTATACATATATGCGTATATTATGTCGAAGCGGTGCATTGTTCGGCGTAATATGGAAATATCGTGCATCGCAATTGTGTACTTACAGCAAAGGCAATAAAATATAATAATCTCATTTATCGCGCATAAAACATATGTGCTTTCAGGCGATATAATATATTTGGCACGTAAATTATTCTCTTATATATAAAATGTTGCAAAAGAAGGGAGAATACGTACTCACGATTCTACATAATACGGACGCTAACAAGTGAAACATGTTAGTGCCTCGAAGTAAATTGCTTTCGACCGGAAACGCGCATCGAATTATCAATACAAAGGACAGATTATTGTACGGGTCAATAATTACGAGCGTGGAATCTAATCGATTGCTATTTGATTGGTAACCGTTTATCTTGCGCGATTGAAACGCTATTGCAAGGATTGAATATCTATATGAAACATTAACAGTGCGAAACGTCAATCAAAATAAAATCAGAACATAATCCATTGTGCAATTTTAGAATAAATTTTAAAACTTTGCGTGTGTGCGTGATTGAGTTGAATGACGCATTTAATCCGATTAGTGAACATTTAATTTATCATTTTATTTCTGTTAAATATTTACATGTGTGTGTGTGTGTGTGTGTGTGTGTGTGTGTGTGTGTGTGTGTGTGTGTGTGTGTGTGTGTGTTGTGTGTGTGTGTGTGTGTGTGTAGATATTTATCTTTATTTTTATAAAATATTTTCTGGGTATATGATATTTATAATATATTTTATTTAACATATAATGTGTGTATATGTGCTCTCTTTGTTATGTTATTTATTGTACGATGTATACAAGAAACCGATTTTTATTTTCGAGGGAATATAAAAAGGGTTAAATCACTAATATTCAAAGGTGAATCAGTCAGTTGAACAAAAAACCGAGTGTTTTTCATCGAGTCGATGACTCTCGACTTCAATTAGTCTGCTCAATCTTTGTTTTTTAACCGGCACAAAGGCGTGCCGGCTTGGAAAGAATATCATGTTTCTAACGCATGCTGATAATTACATGCGCTTGCGAGTCCGAGCACTTTAATGGTTTGTTGTCCGTTGAAAATTAATTATTTTACGCCAAGAGCTGGTCGAGGCGTTGCTGGTGAGTGTATCGAAATACCTGTAGGGCGGGCAGGCTCAGCAAGCCGGAGAAAGGAAGGGCAAGGGGCAACAAGTCAGAGGCAGGTAGGGTGAGTTGTACGGGGGTGGCGTGTAGTTGACGCTTTAGAAAGTCAATACCTGTGAAGAGAAACCTGTGCGCTCACTTCCTGATACGCTCGCGTTAAAAAGTACACTTTAGAGCACGCATAAAGCGCCCGTTTGATTTTTCTGGCGGAAATGCTCTCTTCGGGAAAATTGCGAGCGTCCTCGGGATCTAAGACGAGCCGGAACGACGTAAAAGGTTTGAGCGTTCGATTATCGATATGAGCGACCGCGATTCCGTTGCCTTTTTTTTTTTTTTACGATGGTAGTATATAGGAAAACGATGCGAATTAAATTATCTCGGTACGAAACATTTTCTACGACCGATCTCGTCTACGAAGCATACAACATTTCATCCTTGATATCTCTCAGTGACCGTTCTCGACTGGAATCAAACGAATAAATCACAGCTGTCAGCAGCGAGATATTCACTGCTAATGCATTATGTATTTTCTGTTGCCGATTCAATTTTGAAAAAAAAAAAAAATATTCCGCCCAAGGATCCCTAAGAGGGATTGCTCGTGTCTCGCATCGGATCTTTTGCCGGCAATATAGCGCATTCTAAATTCGTCGATGAGATTCACCATTTAAATTTTTCGCTGAATATCACTGCCGAGAACATCAAATATAAATACACTGTTATTCATTTATTCGCAGCGCTGCGAGATTTGTTCGTGCTAGAATGAACCGCGTAATCATTGACCATCTGATTTTATGAAGTTTTAAATAGAATAATTGTGGAGTTTATATCTTTCTCGTTTTTCCGTTATCCGGCGCACAACACATATTTCCACCACTTTGAAGAAAATGATAAAATTTATCCGCGTAGTTTTGTCAAAATTGCAGTTTTATACGACAATTATACATATATATTATTACGTATATTACTGTATATTTTAATGAGAAAAGTTTATTTCAATGATTTACAAATGTTTTACTTACACATTTTCTATGTAATATTAATGATTTTATTTGAATTATAATATCGTATAAATTATTTTAAGATACATTATTTTTTAAATAAAATGAGAAAATTGTGCACACTTGACACGGTCACATTCTCCACAATGAGAATCAAATATCTCTTAAGGCTAAGTAAAACTGCACAGTTTGACCCGCTTGTTGTATTTACTTTTAATTACAATTTACCTCACGACTTTGCCGCTTTTATCGCGTTTGCCGAGCCACCGATCTTGCGCTGAAAAAGTGCTTCGGGGTGTCGTCGTACGCGAAACAGGCACTCCTCCCCTACCCGGCATTAAGCACTGTCGCCGTAGACGCTAATTTAAATACGACAAGAATTCCAGATTTCCTCGACGGAGGGTGAGAGTGGAGCCACTTTACTACCTAATACATAGGGAATGCAGATACGTATCGGACAGTGCGACGAGGAGGCGGTGGCGCGCAGGAGGGACGGAGAGAGAATTGTTTTTGTCATGGGGGCAATGGAAGTTGGCGGGACATGGGGCTGTGAGAAAGAGAAGGGAGAGGGCAAAGAGATGGTCGGGAGATCGGGGGTTGATTCGGCTACGCAGCGCTACCGCGGCCGACCCGGGAAACTCGGACGGGGTTGGTCCGAAAGCTCTCTCAGTCGCGGACAAGCCGCCACGCAGTGATAACACCCTATATAACGCGGGCAACTTAAATCCGATCCGCGTCGTACGACTAGAATCCTATTCTGATAAGAGCGTAAGTTTCTTAGTGAGAGCATGGATGTATTAATTAAATCTATTAATTGAAGTATCGAACATCGAATTGTGTTGAATAAATAATCGATAATTGATTGCAAGATCCACGTGGTGGATCGGAGATTCGATTGAAATATTGCTACGGAAATTGCGATTTTCAGTTGCAATTTCGTTCGCTTCGTGTCTCAGCTTCTCGTTCTGCGATATCTCCGGTGATGAGTTTATGTGTAAAGCGAGTAAAACATTACGCAAGCGCCGAGTAATTAAGGATGTGTAGCATTTATTTTATTTTATCAGAGTGCCGGCACAAATCGTCTGATAGTGTATTTAACGTGCAATCGCGACTAAGGAAAAGCCGTGTTTTTATTTCATTGCGTCATTATATCACTATCGAGATACCATCATTCCGGTGATTAGAATGATACATCTTGTCCCGCTAGTTCTGATTTCATATATTATATTCACGTTTTTTATATCTCTAAAAATTCGTACATATATTTGAATAAAATAATGTCAATCTTATAATTTTTTTTTAAATATTTCAACTGTCAAAAATATTTGACACATATGAAAAATGTCATATAATAGAAACGTGAATCAATTGAATTTTTTAAAGCAAATGGGTCTAATGAATTGGAATGACAAAATTAATTGATCAGAAATAGAATAACTTTTTTTTTTTTTTTTATTATTTCCGGAAACTAAAGCAGTGCTGGTGGCATAAAAATAAAACACTGTCCAGTTCAAAGAATCGGAATAACGTGATGGTGATGAAGAAGATAGCGAGACGTGATAGATTTTCCTAGGCAAATATAAAATTCTCTTTGAGTCGGTCGTGCTAACAATATAATGGCTTGGTTTTTGGCAACTATACAGGGCGGTTAGTTTCCAGTTGACCGTGCGAAAAGGTAGTTACGAACTTTATGATTACGCGGCACGAGCGGATTGCTTCATTCGTCGATTACATGCAACCTCGCAGACATAATTCACAAAGTGTTGCAACGAGGGCGGGTTGCGTGCAACGATATCTCGTTTTCAGAATGATTTTATATGCGTGAAGAAATACATCACTATTTTCCGCCAAATCTCGAGCAGTTAACATTGTTGTTTTTCCATTTAACTTCGAGTTATGGGATAAGCTCGTAACGGAATTGCAAAACAAGCTTATTAATTCACGCAATGGCTATATCGAATGAGGTAAAGTACTTTTATAAGAAGGTGAGAATGAGAGTGGGTACACTTATCATTCGGAACGTTTGGGTCACTTCCAATTTCTGGCAATTGCGGGTGTTACGTACGAAAAGGAGGTCAACCAACGCAAAGTGCAATAGCACAGTGCGACGAATGAAAAAGATTTCGCGTTTAATCGCATTACACGACGTGTCTGCAACAGTCGTTAAATATTCATGACAACCCGACACTGAGACTGGCAAGTGGCTAAATTATTTATGATTCTTTTATGTCATAATCGAGTATAACAACAAAGCGAAAGTTGCTCGTACAAAGCTTGCGGATTGGAATATATTTGCTAACTTTGTCCGCGTTTTTTTTTTTTCGGATCTTGTTACGAACAAGCTATTTGTGAGTCGTTGTCATTAATGCTGAATTTCATTGGTATTTTTTTTTGCATTATCGATGAAGATAGAATCATAATTTTATATCATACCGATATTAATTTATGAAATGAGGAAAGACTCATCACACTGTTTCCGCAAAATTATTATTGACCTTTTGAATAATTGGAAAGTATTTTATTGAGCGAGTTGCGAAACAAAGAGCGCAATAAATTTTATGAATAATCTCGCATTTTACGAAATCTATGAATTATAAAGTGAATTATGTAGTTACCTCGTGAAATCGATTCTCGTTTCAGTCCTTTCGTCCTCACATTTCCAAATTAATATTGCCGTCTCTTTGTTCTGTCCTCGTAACGGATTACGTAACGCGCTTCACTCATGTAACCATTCTCACGTGGAGTCATGGCTTGGTTGGCTGCGGCAAAGGAGATTGACAAATTTCATCCGCTGTAGTTCTTCACAGCCATTGCAACCGTCGCTTGGTTGCAAAGTTGTAGCCGCGTGTGTCTTAACGGCCGGAAAGCTGCCACGTAACCGTCGAATTAGAGCGACGATGAAAGACCAATTCCCGGGTAATCGAACTAGCTCTCGCTTCCCGTTAAGCTTCCGTACGAGACGTTATATTGCTTCATCTCTCGAGTTCGACAGAAATTCCCGAGTTGCGCTGAAGCGGAGCAGTAAGCTTTTTCTCATCTCCCCTTTAACTTTCTTAACATCGACGCATCGTTCGTCAAGTACGTCGTATCTTCTCTCGATTATTCTTGCGTAACGGATGAATGTATCTTGTTACAAAACTGCGACCATCTGTTACCTCAATAAATTTCGATAGTTTTGATCAACTAATAGAAACTACGGTAATTGTTTAATATTATATATATATATTCCGAAAATTTAGAAAATAAATACGTTAATCAACATATTCGCGAATACATAAATTAAAACAAAATATATGTGTTAGCTTAATACGAATTTAAGGCAAATGTGGTCATGCCTCTTGTCGTTGGTTTAGTACGCCTTCCATTTCCTATTTCCAGTTTCATACTACTAGCCGAATGTAGAGCGAGCTATTTAAACTTTCGGTCAACGGAGAAGTAGTTAAAGTTAGGGAAATTCGGATAACGCATGTGTACTTTAATTAACACGCATACGTAGGAAGTTCCTCGGTTATTAAGTTCTGTCGTCTGGAAATTGGATGTACAAATTCAACAATGCTCATCTGATGACGCTATATATCTACATTCATACCTTCGTATATTCATATAAATTCTTGATTTGTCATGAAATATAGTCGTACAGAAATACAGCCAGAGCGAGCTAATATCAACGAATGGCCACCAATTATCTTTTTTTCCTTTTTTTTCTTTTTGGCAGAGAATAATTGTCGCATTGGTTTATGTTTGCATTTTATTAAATTTTATATTTTGAAATAAGACATACATTTTTTAAAAAATATGTTACATATATATATTTGTTTAACGCTATATACAAAATTTCTAAATTTAATAAAATCCTAATTGTAAGACTCTCTCCCTCTCTTTTTCTTTTTTTTAAAATTCCTTAAAAGGTTTATAAAGATTTTTTTAAAGGGTTCTCTTTGTTTAAATGCACTGTGTCAATTATCAAAAAGCTCGGGATTTGTGCGACTGATTATCGGCACAGAAAGGTCCATTAAATCTTAAAATCTCACAAATTTCAAAGCCCCAAAGCATGTCGTAATCGAGTCACTCCACGGTCAATCTTAAACTACTGAGTTATACGAGTGACTCTGTGGCACTCGCGCTCCGGCACTTTAATCCGAGGGACTTGAGAGTGCACCTGCTAGATGGTATATCTCTCCGGCTGCGAACTTCGGGTTAGCTTGCGAGAGAGACAGGCGTAAGAAGGACACGGGGAAAGAGGAGAAGAGGTGGTAGACCCAATTACATCTCGTTCGTGCAGAATTGGACGAATACATACAAGATGCTTAAGACGCTTTAACTACCTCGGGATTTGTACCCACATTCTAACTGTCGAGATTCGTTTAAGTACCCTATGCCGGACTTTCGTCGGTTGCCGAGGATTGCCATCGATCCATAAATCCGTTTCCGCAAACTCTGACAGTTTTCGCTAAATAGTCTTTGTTTAATTACAATTTTCGACTTGAATTTAAATGATTTGAAATCATAATTGCTTTAAATAATCTTAAATTAATTAATTAAGTGATTATAAAATTATTCGCTTACTTTTTATTTACTGTTTATAAATAAAAAAATTACGTTTATATACACGCGTTAATATGAAAAAATAGAATTGCTTTATAAATAATTAATCGATCGAATTTAATCAATTGTGCATTTAATTTGAGCGATTTTCTCTTTATTTTGCAGGACGCTACAGATACGAAAAATCTTTTTTCGGGACGATAACGGGTCGCTTGGGATGGAATCTGAACAGTGATGAAAGAAATTCTATGAGATTGAAGAGCCAAGATTAACCGGCTGTTCATGTTCATCACTGCTTCGCGTTAATGGAGCGCAGCCTATGGAAAGGGATGCGATGACACGCTGCCAGCCAAAGACGAAGGTTCCTTGAGACAGGATTAGAAGGCCGCCTAAAATCCGAGTAAACTCCTGTCTTCATCTTAGATCAATTAAATCATCGACGTAAGCTTCTTGAAGAGCTTCAAACTTCGCGTACTAGATTCCGTGCCGCGCAAAATCTGCTTCGATCACGCGCGGTTCATAAATCTGTGAAAATTGTGGTCTTATACGTGATAACAGATTGACTAAAGAAAAAGAAAATTGTTAAAAAAAAAAAAATCGCCCGATCAAACCCGTATGATCGAAGGATCGCCTGCTGAGGACAGAATTACCCTATGTCTTGCGAATTTTTGAAAAGTCGATTGTCGCGGCGTAGAGATTTCGTAAACGATGTGCTCGTCGGTGAATTAAAGCGTGTACCTGGGCCGGTAGTTCAGACAATCAATAATGCCGGGTCGTAAAACTTTGCGCGAGGCACGCAGCAGTGTTTGATAAATAATGCAGTTCTATCGGGTTGGTCGATGTTCCGGGGTGTAAAGCAAAAAACGCTGGATCATCCTTGGCGCTGAGAGAATCTCGAAACGTCTCACAACGTGAATTACAACACGGACATTGTGTTGTGTGCATCGATTTCGTGAAGTTGACTTGGAGTGCTTGATCCTCACACGAACTAGAGACGAGGGTTAACAAGGTACGTGTATTATCCGGTATAAGTGATCGTGTGTACCACACGAGTGTTCGAGAAAGTGCGGATCTCCTTCAATTTTTTTTTTTTTACGAACGAAATCGATTTCCGTGACGTCATTGCGATTCATCGGTAATAGTAAATGGTATAGTGTTGGATCTGGCAAATATAGAGAAAGTGCGGATCTCCTTCAATTTTTTTTTTTTTTACGAACAAAATCGATTTCCGTGACGTCATTGCGATTCATCGGTAATAGTAAATGGTATAGTGTTGGATCTGGCAAATATTTGTCGGTACTTCAAAATTGTGTCGTTTAACGTGTGACAAAGTGTCTCATCGTCATTCAGAATCCATTGTTTGACGTGAAAAAAAAGTGACTTTCCATATTGACACGCCGATATCAAACAGAACTCGTATATACGTGTCAGGACGTATAAATCGTGGTATATGAGTAATTATAAAAGTAAATGGGAAAATCGGTAATTAACGTAATAGTTCAGGTACAAAGGCGCTTAAAGTGTAAGCCACGCGATAATTAATTTTTTGAATGTGAATTTAGAAAAGTCAAAAGGATCCTTTCTCTCTCTCTCTCTCGTGCGAAAACTATTACATGGATTTGGTGGCGCATAATTCGTAAAAAATAAAAACCTACAGCGAGTAATTCTCTACGATAGGTTTAATTAGCAACGAATAATTCTTTCGCGGATATACGAGTCTTTAAAATCGCGGAAATATACGAGCGAAGAAAACACAACGTGCGGAATTTTCAAAGTCACTGTAGATCCGAGAAAGTCAATCTCCTTTCGCGTTCGTGTTTCAATTCTGGGCGAAGCAGGATGCGGGCGGTGCCATGTGTGCTTCGTTAAACTGACAGTAATCGTCAACCGCGTGTCACAAACTCGTACGTGGTAAAGCGAGTGTTCGCAAATTAGATTCCGGCGATGCACTTACGATGACATCGTTTTGTGATTTGAGCACTCGAGCATCAACGCACGTGTGAAAATTGGACTCGTCTTTCACGAGCACGATTGCGCATTACTACAGGAAGAAAATCGCGATAAAGAGAAATTCGAGAAAAACACATCTCCAAGTTAGCTATCTCGAAAAAAAAAAAAAAAAAAAAAAATAGATTCCGGCGATGCACTTACGATGACATCGTTTTGTGATTTGAGCACTCGAGCATCAACGCACGTGTGAAAATTGGACTCGTCTTTCACGAGCACGATTGCGCATTACTACAGGAAGAAAATCGTGATAAAGAGAAATTCGAGAAAAACACATCTCGAAGTTAGCTATCTCGAAAAAAAAAAAAAAAATAAAATAAAATAACAATTCCCATACATATTGCGTACAAAGAAAATCAGAGGGACAATTATTATTTATCCATGTAAGAGTATGACAGTTCTTATCAAAGCATTCGGACATTGATAGGATTGTCGATTCATTCAAATATTCCACGAGAAAAATATCATATAGGAAGATATTCCTGTAAAAGAGATCATCGCGCAGCGTTATCGAAGACTTGTCTGAAAAGAATATTCGATCGAGAAATTTGCACGCGTGGTAGCGATCGCGGGGATTTTTTATCACTGGAAAAACGATAATCGACCGACAGTCGACGATTGTCGCCGCGGGGCAAATGGCAAACCTTATCGGATTCGACATGTGATATATCGCGCGGCGACGAACGAGTGGCGCGATTGGCTACGAGAGAATGACGGTGATGTGTACGTCGTTTACGGATGTTGTTCAGTGCCGGGATGCTGTAGTGAGTAACTGTCAGTAAAAGCGACGCGAGTGCGGCACAACGAGATCGGTTTCGTTGTCATCGTCGTCGTCGTTATTCGCCGGAGAGAGTGAGAACAGAGACGGCCGACATCGCTCGGAGAAACATCCAGCATGAAGGATCATCGAGGAGGATGGCTGCGCGCCGTACTACTGATAACGTTCCTCTCGCATCAGATGGGTGAGTGCAATTCTATATTTGTTATTATTGCATCGGCTTTTTTTTCACGAGAATCAGGGATGATTGAGCCACGCGAGATTTTTTTATGTCATCTGTCGCTTAATCGGATCTCTCAATCCATTTTTATGAAACATAAATCGTTTTATGATCAGTTGGGGAATCCATCATAAAAAAGGCATGATAACGGAGAAAAGTCTTGAAAGTTTAAAATCTTGTATTTTTTTTTATAGAGGTAGATTTGAAACGTATATAATAGAAACATAATCTAAAAATATTATTCTTTAAGAATAAGACATTATAAGATAGAAAACGAAAGACGTATAATAGTATAATTAATATTCTGCAGTTTTTAAATACTTTTTTGAATTATATATAATTTATACACATTGATCATACATTATTATCAAGTACGTGAACAATAATTTAATTATAATTTAGCAGAATTTAATGATTAAACTGAAATAGATGATTACATCGATAATCAGAATTTAAAGCCAGAATTTCAATAATTAGATAAAGTATAAACTTGTTTCAAGTGTCTGAATAGATTTCTGTGAATGTAATTTAGTCCAATGATTTAATAAATATTTTTTGTTATTTATTTTTCTGCTGGCCTAAATAAATTTAAAGCGGTACAACGGCACTGTCTCTCATTCCAACAAACCGCGAATGTGTCGGTAAAATGGGCCACACCGACACGACATATTGTTTTCCAACACACACAGCCACGCACGTTCACATGGACGTGATTATATCGAAGTATATATCAGGAGTAAAATATTGTAAGAGAGATCTAACTTTCGACGGAATATTGTAATTAATGAGCCACGAATAACCGACAGTTTTTATAGGATGTGGTTTGTACTAACAGGTTGAACGCGCTACTTTTTTTTTATTTCGATGAAAAGCACCCAAGTTTGTTCTGTGGAATATTTTTCTCATAGGCGTTGATAATTATTTTCGACGTTTAATAATATTTCGCGGTTTAATTGGCCGGATGAGTTGATCTATCCCGACCCCGAGTTATCGGGCAGTTATTTATAATCCAAGTTATATAAGCCTGCGGTTATCTGAAATAACTGTGCTCTTTTTCTCTTGAGAAGGAGAGAGAAGAAAAAATCATCGACAAGAAAAGATCGCGTTATCGTAACATTCTGTATGACAAGATAAATTCCAAATGTCGCCCATCTATAATTACGGAAAGAGAAAGGACTAACCGTTCATAGCGCAGGTATTCTTAAACACTGCGAGCCACTATCGAATTGATTTCCATAGAATGAATGGATTCATGAATAAAGCGCTTTAAGCAAGCTCGCTCGAGATCGTTCGGCGAAAGGCAGTCTGCCAATAATTTCAGGGTGAACTCTATCGACATAACGAATTATTCATAATTTACTGTATGTATTCTGAATTGCATTAAATCGAGAACAGACAGTATAGGAGCAATGAACGATTTGACTGTCGAGATCGAGAATATCAAGTTATTCTGATACTAAATTATGTTTTCTGCAGTTTCGTCGAATACTTTACGTATCGCGTATTTATTTCAATTATTCAATATTTTTCTCGCAAATAGTTTAGTTCTTCTTTTTTTTTTCAGATAGTGTTAAATTTGCTATTTAGAATATTCTTTAAAGAAGATATCTATCGATCGATTGTCGTGTTGGACATGTAACGGAAATTCACTCGTTCGTCATAAACACGCTGCGCGAGTGAGCTGTATATAAGTTATTACCTGAAATTTTGCTACGTCCAGGAATGATGAATAATACGGGGCTATAATGTTACATATACACAACACACACTGCCGTTATACGGAAATTCTCTTTACGGTATTTTCCTGTATCGTGAAATTGCATTTCGGGTAGAAATTTCTATCGGATATTTTACTTTATTACGTTATCGAGAACTTGTATAGAGAAATTAAAATAGTACGTTTCTGATATTTTTATGGCGATCTGTTTAGAATTAATTATTTTATCACATGTTTTATATATCGATAGATCAATAACAAAATTAAATATTGAGATAACTTTTCGAGCTCGTTAAATCTCAAGTAAATAAATAACTTTATGGCGTGTTTGTACGTAAGTAGAAAACTTTGCGATAATTCCGTGTCACCCCGAAAAGCTACAAATCGAATTAGACATATTCTGTAATTAACGCGTCTTAGTCCTGCTAGCTGTTAGCTTTGAGAGAATAAACATCGCCCGAATTAGTAGAACAAATTTATCTCGTTTCCCGACGGCGTTCTCTTGCTCTTTCGGATGATTTTCACCGTGCGCTACCTCCAGCCCGAGGATCGTGGAAAAAGGTATCTGGAAATTTTATCGAGGAGTGCGAACTTTCTTACGAACGTCACGAAAATTGAATTTTTAAGTGACAGGTCATTTGCGAGTAGTCGGCTAACTCTAACTTTGCGCATTGACTCGCCTGTGTGTATTTTCCGAATTCGTTGCGACTTTTGGATGTCGCTATTGAACGGAAGTTATATAATTACAACTGTAATATACGCCGTTACTATTTGAAACGATCCTTGGAAAATATTGTTGTAATTTTATCGTAACTTAATCTCGTACTTTTCGACCGCTTTAAAGTATCGCTTTTATTTATTCGCAGGATTATTGTTATAAATCATCATAGAAACTGTATATAAAAAAGTTACGGTCTTTATATAAACCGTATTTTAAAAATAGCGGTGTATAATTAGGATTTATTCGAAAGAGATATTTCTATTGGGAAATGTGGTAGAAAAGGTAATATTTATCACGTTGAAATGAAAAGGATGACAATTCATCGCGCGATGAGAGACGTAGAAATATAAATTGCTCTTTTATATCAATGCACGGGATTTGCATCAATCTACAGACAATTATTTTCATCCCGCGATTCCCGTAATTTACTTTGGCGGTTGCTGCTGCCACAATGATGAAACAGACAAGACGAGCAGACAAAATTTTTTGATTTTTTACACGGCTAATTTCGACGGTATTGCTCAAATTTCTTTTCTCGTAACGATTCGCGCAATATAATTGCACATAATATTGTCCGACCACATCGATAGCCCGATATCCTTCTTGACGAGCATTGTGACCGAGAATTATAGATATCGAGCGGATGTGTAACACGTTTGCGGAATGCGGTTGATTGTAAGTCGGGAAGCCAATTTGCCAAACTCGAGTTTGTCGCGGGCGGGCGGTGGAGGGAGGTACCGCAAGAACGCCGCGGTGTTCTATTGAAGTTGTAATCGATGTTATTATATATCTATCTACCTACCTGCCGGAGGCGGTCGCGTATCGTGGATTTACACGTCGTGGCATCTCACATCACCTTTAAACGAGAAAACGCTAAAATTAAATTGCGCGCGCATTATTAAACTCCACGTGAGTCGGCGTAATTTAACTTTTGTGCACCAGGTAAATATATAATTTCTCAAAAGCGTTAAACTGAATATAGGCCCGATGCTTAGTGACACGGCCGTATTTTGTAAACGGCAAAAATAATTGCTTTATTTAATAATTAGCATTTTATTGTGTATGGTTTAGTCAATAAATGAAAATATTTTTTAGATAGTTTTATGATATCTATCAGATATTTTGTCGTCCGAATACCCGTTATAATCGTGTTTTGCCAATAACGATAATGCATTTTTAATTCCCTTTGTCGCCGAATATATAGGAATGTTTGCGGTGGCTCTTTGGGACATTCTTTGTCTATGTTTTACTTTATATCGTAGCAAATGCCGAAAAATTGAATTGCGGTCGGCACGGTGGAGCAGTAAATCGAAACTCCCCGCAGAGATCCCGGTGCAATCGAACAGACGAACTACGGTAGAGAGAGCGTAAACCATTACTATTGGGCTTATCAAAGTGATTCACGTGACTGGCCGACGGCATTATGCAAATGAGCCGTAAAATTATCGTAGCCTTTAGGCATCGCCAGACAAGGGGATGCCTGAACTTTCCGTTATACGTGACAGAGCACGTTACTGCAACTATAGCAACTATAGCCGATAGTCGCTTTAGAAGGCAAAGATTATATAATAATCTCTCCGTTAGATGGTCATGCAAACTGAATTTATCTTTGAATTATTATTTGCGAGTAGCATTCAAGTGTAATATGAATCGCGTATCGTAATGAATATTGAACCAACAACAATCGCGTATTCGAAAATCGATATTGTTATTATCAGAGTAAAATACATATTTGTAAATGCAACATTTTCCAGCGCAAGAAATTTTCTCAATTTTTATCAGAACAGTAAAATTAATATTATGAAAGCAAATAAAGAAAAAATATCTTGCGCGAGACTGCATTCCGATTGTATTGAGAGTTGGTTGAGATATAAAAATCCGAGATGACGAACGGTATTTTTTCGATGTTATAATACAGTGACGTAGACGATTGATGATTTAGCTAGAACGGATAAGTGGTAGCAATTTCCGTTCAGTGTGCCTCTCGGCGAGTTATCAATGTCTTCGTTCCCCTTAACCAGAAGTGAAGTACAGGAAACAGGAAGCGATTCCTCCAATGGCCGTCGAGAATGTGTCCGGCAAATTTATACGCGCAGACGGTTGCTGTAACGAGAACGCGGACCTATATCAATTTCAAAAGGGATTACATAGTGGCCGAAGAGAACAATGGCCCTAAAATTGGATCAAAGATTTTCGATGACGACGTTGCAAGTCGAGATTGTGTTCGCGCGCGAGCGCGACAAAAGGATTTCCTGTCATAAACAGAGAGATTGGCACACGTGCGGGATGTTTACACCCCTTAATGCAGCCATTTGGTATACGAACGACTTTCAATTATCGCGCGGTAATATCGTTTCACGTTAATGATACTGTTAGAAGAATCTCGATACGCTCGCATATTTCATGTTTACGTTACGCCGATTAGGATGCATTTAACATCAAAATGCGCGGCAAATTTATATTTATATATTCTCGAGCAAACTCAAGCGAAGTAATATTGCTGTATAATTGATCGTTAAGGGGCAA